ATTTAAGTTTTAGCTTTTCTGTATTCTTCAAATTTGGATTTTTATGATGGTAAGGACCGATTGCTATCATTCTTGGCTCACAGTGCTTGGTAAAATTGTTGTTGTCACGCAAGATAGATGGAACTTTTTGTATCTTTTGAGGACAATTCACTTGCACTATGGCATCATCCAAAGATTTGAACTTCTCCACAACACTATTATTATTGTTTGACCTGATTTCCGCCCTAGTGATGTCGATTACATAGCTCAGATACTCATCCTCCATCTTCTTGTCACTAAACATCGAATTGAAAGACTCCCGGTCCTAAAGTGAATAGTATAGATTAGGCTTGATATTGAAGACAATGATATTGATATCGTAATTTGATCCCTTTTTCTAAATAAAGAAGTATCAAGCCACGTATAATGATATTGATATCGTAATTTGATCCCTTTTTCTAAATAAAGAAATATTAAGCCACGTATAATGATATTGATATCGTAATTTGATCCCTTTTTCTAAATAAAGAAGTATCAAGCCACGCATAAATGAGTAGCAAAATTCTTTATTTATAGACAAGAGAAGGTTAATATGTTAAGAGATGGCCAGAATTAATTGAATTCTTATTTGATATGGAATACTGACTTTTGTGATTGGAAACCAAAGTTCTGGAATATGCACTTTTGGACCTATAAAACAGCTATGATTATCCAATTAAAATAGGTTTAGGTGTGAAAAAAGGAGTGAAAGAGAGATAATAAATGGAGAAATAGAGTTTCTTTTAAGGGAATTGAAAGTTTGAGTTGAGAGAAGTTGTATGAGAGCTGGGATTTAGATTTATTTATTTGTTTAAACTTGAGTTGGTTAGAATTGTACAAATTAACTAACCATATTTGACGTATGAGTGTATGTAAGAATAGTTGTGTACAATCACGTAAATTCTCGTTTGATTAATTTTCTTAAAGTCAAATATTAATTATCTCTAATATTTCATTGCATTTGTATGTATTTTATAATTTATATTATGTGAGTTTCAATTTATTTTTAATTTTATTATTTTTTGTATTGAAGTTTTATTAGTATTCTGATATTTTTTTCCTTGTATTACTTTTAGGGGGTGTTTGTCTGAGCTTATGAAAATTAGCTTATAAGCAACAATTACTTATAAGCAAAAATTAACTTATAAGCATTTGAAATTTTAAGCAATTACGTTTTTGGTTAAAGTACTTATAAGTGACTGATAAGTAATTGACGTGTTTGGTAAAATGTGGCTTATAAGTATATTTTATTGTAAAATTACTAAAAAAGGTACTACATTAAACAAGGACATACTATGAAATTTTAAAATTAAACAAGGATAATGTGGTAATATACTTGGTCAAACTAGCTTATAAACAAAGTGCTTATAAGCCAAAAAAAAAAAAAGTACCTCCCCCCAACTTATTTTTTTTTTGCTTATAAGCTCAACTTATAAGCTCAAAAAAGCTATAAACAAACAGGTCAGCTTAATTTTAGAGCTTATAAGCAAGTTTGACCAGCTTATAAGCTTAGACAAACACCCCCTTAATTTGACATAAAATTCAATTAATTTTAACTGATTTGCCAACAATCATGATCCAATTTTCCCTTTTTAATTTTCTTAGCTTTACTCTTCTTAGAATTAATTGATAGTTATCTCAATTGTTACTATAAAAAATAAATTTAAAGAATTCTTAATTAGCAATAATAAATGTTCTCTCTTTATATGAATTTTTAGTTTTCATGTGAGAATTTATAATACCTTAAGCACAGGGCCGGCCCAAGGGGTAGGCAGGTAAGGCACCTGCCTAGTGCCCAAAAAAAAAAAGTGTCTAAAATTATTTTAAAATTTTTTTTAAATAGATTTACAGAAATACTATTGGATCTAAAAAAATTTATAATTTTTTATCAGAACTAGTCCAAAGGTCCCCACAAAAGCCAGAAAAGCCCAAATTTATTATACTTTTTTTTACATAAATTTACAAAAAAACCATATTTCATATTTTCCATTCACACACATAAATTAACTAAACTAGTTATTTAAATGTCTAAAATTTCAAAACACCCATTCGATCCTTAAAATGATGAAAACATTATATCTCCACCCCTCTACACCGCCATAGACATTGAAGTGATGATTCCGGTCAATTTTCTCACCAAAATTAATCGGATTCATCACTTAATCATTTCCGAAACGTTTTCACAGCCTTGACAACCCCCAATTTGGTCGATTTTTGCTGATTTTCACAGCCCATTTTCATTCTTCACCGCGTGAGACAGTTCCGGCACGTATCTAATATCGTTGACCTTCCCCAACACCAACATCTTCGTTCCCTCAGCCCCCTCCCCAAAACCCCTCACTTACCTGATCCCGGTAGCCCGCTGTCCACCTCTCGCCCTCACAAGAAAGATTAGGTAATTTGGCTATATTATCAATTGAAAAAAATTTGGTTTTTAAACTTGAATATAAAAATTTAATTAGTGATTTTGCATCTTAAAAGAAAAGAAAAATAAATTTGAAATAATTTTTTAATATATGCTTATATTATTAAAAGGGCCCCAAAATAACTCTTGTCTAGGGTCACAAATGTTCTTGAAACGACCCTGCTCAAGATCTTACTAATGTTTTCATAAGCCATAATAGAAATCACAATTCATATAAAGAGAGAACCCTTAATATAGCTTGCCACATGTTTGTCTATATAACCAAATTATTTTTCTATTTTACTATTACGTGTTACATTTTGATCTTAGTAGCTGTAACGAAATTCTCAGCAACTGTAAATTAGAGTTTTTAAAATAAAAAACAATCTTTTGATATGTAAAAAAAAAAAAAAAAAATGGAATATAAACTCTTTTTCTTATTACTCAATATCATAAAATGAATATAGAAATTTAACTCATAATTATATATGAACCAGTCAAGTAAGGCCGCAACTGAATAATTGGTCTTACAATAGATTGTGATCTTAGCGTTATGGTTGCCATTATAGCAGTAATTATTTGGTCGCCTCCAGCTATTTCTTCTTTTCGCTTCCCAGAACCTTGCTTGATATAATAGATCCAAGAATGTTTAAACGTAGTGAGCAATGGTGTGTTTGCACAGCATGCTGTAGTGTTTTGACAGTTGATTACCGCCGTCTGAGGGATTCTAACAAAAGTAACGAGGGCGTAGCGGAGATGGTTTAAGTGGGCTGAAGTTTTTAAAATCTATGGCCATAAGAAAAGTTTCCAATTTATTATTTGAGTGGAAAGCTACTTCTATTACATTTGATGAGTTTGAAGGACAATATGTTGATGGCCAAATAGGCTCTACCCCTTTTACTTTGCCAATACAAAGCTCCCAATTTCATGCTTCGCTTGTGTTGTGTTATTCTTCCTCCTCCTTCCTTTTTTTTTTTTTTATCACTTTAATAATTCTCTTCAACTCTTTAAGCTATAATATAATAAATATGTTAAACATAAAAGTCATAGGAGTAGACATGGCAATTGGGGAGGGGGGCTGGTGGGGGCGGGGGCCGGGGATCTCATTTACTGTATCCATCCTCACCCTCGCCCCATCCCTATTACGGGGATGACAGGAATTCTCCTTCCCCAGCCCACAGGGGAATGTTGGAGACCCGTCTCCGCCCCATTAATTTTACATAAACATAAATTAATTTGAGCATTACCAAACACAATAGTTAATTCTCGTCCACATAAAAACATTTAGATTAATCGTTTGGCGGTCAGGGAGGTTTGCGCCTTTTATTGAATGTCTAGGTTCAAACTTAGGGTCATTTTACCTAGTCTTTTGGACTTGTAAGGTGTTCAATAGATTCTAAAAATTAGTTAAAATGCGTGCAAACTGGTAAACCTAGAACATATCAAAAACATGGTGGCAGAGGAATTCAAAAAAGGAGAAGGAAATTTCAATTAAAGTTGTGGAAATCTATGGCCATAATAAAAGCTTCCGTTCTATGTTATTAAAGAAACACTCATATCTTATCTTTTGATGATGAAATCTTCTATTCTAGCAATAAGATTCGAATAATGAGGAGTTTGAAGTTTCAAATAGGAAAATTTTAATAATTTAGTTTGAAAGAGAAAGTAAAGAAAAGGACAATTTGGTGATGGCCAAATGGGCTCTACCACTTTTAAATACCCTTTACAAATTAAAGCTCTCAATTTCCTGTTGAGTTTGTGCTTCTTCTATTCTTTACTTCATGTTTTATATCACTTTACTTATTGTCTCTTCTACTCTTAAAACTTTCCTGCTCACACTCATTCTAATGAAATTGCTTTCCCTATTCACAACTTTTTTTTTTTTTTTGCACCGACAGATTCTTGAAAATTTATTGTGCCAAGGAATTAATTAAGTGGCTTTGGGGTCTTAATAATCTTATAGATCTATGAAAATAGGGGATAACGACAATTTCCCACCAAAGGTTTGGCGTTACTCAGTTTTCGCACCCACTAAGTTTGAGAAAAACAATTTTACACCCATCATTAAGATCCGTTAGTGAGATCTGTTAACTAACATGGTATAATCATTGTAAAAACAAAAATATCATTTACTATTTGAATCCAAATCCAAATCCATACTCGTTCCCAAACCTGAACCAAAAACCATGGCTCTTGTCTGGCTCTTCTCATCATTTGAATGCTTACATAAATTTTGTGCAAGGTAAATAGAAAGATCTTTGTGTTTACAATTAACTACTAAATCATCAAATTTTGTAAACTCTGATATAGTTTCTAATACTCATAGGGTTATAATATTTCATTTTTGTGGTTGATTGTACTTTATGTTCTCACGTTCTCTCATAACTTTGAATTGGTTCTCACCTTTGTATTTATAGGTATTATATGCAATATTCTTTTTTTTAATAGGATTCATATTTCAATTCTTATTAGGACTCTTCAAATTCTATTCCAATTTACTATTGTATTTTTTATTAAATAGTTTTCCTAAAGATGTACAATTTCACATGAGTATAAATAGGAAAGCGAGCTATAATATCTAAACAAAAAGGACCACAGCTACAGCAACAGAAAAACCAGTTTCCTTTGGGAGCCACCTACCTTCCCAGGACCTGTCTTCATTGTAGGCTGCTATGCCCACCCTATAAGGGTCTTTGGAACCCTTCCGAACACATAGGAACCAACTGCTAATGAAAACATACAAGAAGAAAACCGATTAGTTACCAGACTGGATACAGCTCAGCAGAAATATTAGTTACCAAATATTTAACTTGCTATGATGGAACTGGAGAAAGTCGCAAGCAACATTTATCACACATGAAAAGATCAATACACAATCTTTTTTGGAGCCATCAGCCAAATAGTATATATATATAGTAAAACAAACCCATAACCAGACACATTTATGTTCATGATTCAGTTTTCGGTTACTTGTGTGACATAAATCCGCTCTCACAAAGGAGGATTACAGGCAACGCTAAGGAAAAAAAAAAAAATTGGGGGCGACATCCCAAGACCAGCTTCATTTCCTTTTGGAAAATGCACCAGCATGCCCAATAGAACCTAAAAGATCTGCACAAAAGTGAAACAAGCATAATTTCAGATTCATCGAGTGCTAAATTTTTTTCCGAGGCCTTGATAATCGAAATGAAAATTTGTCATGTACACAAACAGAAATAATAATCATTTAACACAAAGGAGAGTAGAAAAGTCTAAACTGTTCTGAAACTGTTCTTCTGTAATAAACATGGATTACCAAGTAAATACAAGAACTATCTAATCAGTAAGCAGTTACTAAATAAATCCAATTAAGATGTCATAGACCTTCCAAACTGAACTAAATAAATATCAAACAAGTATGTTACAATAGTAAAGCTCAATAATCAACATGATCATTAAAATGTGTAACCGAATGCAAAAGAATATATTTGATCTTTGTGAAAGTTAAAGATGTAACCAATTTAATACATGTGTGATAATTGTGACATTCAAAGACAATAAAATAATTTGGAACAAACATTCTCGGCAAACTGCCAAAACTCATTCACGTCTCTTTTCTAAGTCCAATTATGCATCCATATATACAAGCATACTTCAGTCCTTAAGGTCTAGTCAGAATTACACATATAAATTAAACATACTAGAAATTCGGAGAATAGACTTGGTTTTTTCCTTAGTACGTAGTATGATATGATATGGTATAGTCTATCTCATGCTATGCTTTCTGAGATTTCTCATTATGAAGCTTGTTATGATATATGCATATATGGTATGGTTTCTATCTAGATGCTTTCAAAAAATGATACACAAAAATCTTTCAAAGGAATAGGCCATTTGGTCAGGCTTGTCCTAATTGGCTTTTTCCTCAAATTCCAAATCCGTTCTCCCATTTCACAAATCAAGGTCAATTTCAGACTTACACAAGATTGATGATTGATATTTATATAGATATCCTAGTGCAAACAAGTTATATATGAAGATCAAGAAGAAACAAACCAAAGTAATTATAACACAAGAACCACAATCAGATCTTGAATCAAGATCAAGTTATTGTCAGTCATGTACACCTAAACCATGACTGCAATGAAATACAAATATGCAGATTAAGAATTGCCACAAAGATCAAGTTATTGTAGACATATGTAGTACATCACAATAAAAGAAGTAAGTAAAGAAAACAAACAAAAGATGTAGCATGCTGGATACCTCATTCAAAGGAAAAACTATTAGGATATTGCAGAAGATCATATATTCCTTATTTATAATATCCTAACATTGTGTAAACTGTCTGTGCAACAGTCGAAGCAAGTGCTATTATCGCAGCAAGGAAAGCAATCGCACTCCAGGGGCTTCGGAAATATTCGTGAATAAATTGAGCCATCGAAGTCATTAATTTGTTGTCATAGCGTCTTTGGATTTTACTTTTGACATCTCGATATATATTAGGATTTGACACTAAGTCTGTGCCTATCTCATTAAAGAGTTTAGCCACTTCTTCGTCACTACCCAGAAAATTATGGAGTATTTGCTTATCTCGCAACTCTTTAACATCTTGGGCTTGATCAATGAGTATATCGAGAAATGCTACATAAGAGGAGACCCCAAAGTCATTTAGAAAATCTGGACACATTTCGTAAGCGATCAAGTTCAAGAACTTGGATGCAGTTGAGTCGTCCACTTGAATAGAAGGAAGCCTCAAAGTTCCAAGATTAAAAGTAATGTCTCTCAAACAACCCGTGCCACTAGGCCTCAACCGAATCCCTGCTGCTCAAATCATGTACTTGTGTACATGAACAACAATTCTCAATTGGCTTAACAATGCACTCCATCAAGTTCTTAACTTTTTCAAGCGGCTCAGTTATGTATTCGGAAAATTTCTTAATTAGTTGTCGAACTATGGCGCATGACATTTGGTTTTCCTTGTCATCAAATCGGAGTAGTCTTCTTCGCAAAAGGTCCAGAAGATGTATTGGATTTTCTTTTTGCAACAACTTAAGTTCCAATTGCTCATGCTTCTTTCTTGGGGCCTTGATACCAAAGATGAACTTCTCAATTGATAGTTTCATCGGCATTTGGTTTCCCATGCAGCTTATTAATGATACGAGGACTCGATAAGGAAGTTGGTTCTCCAATAAGAACAGATCTTGCTGCGCATATACCAAGTAGTCAATTTTAATACCTTTTTCTTTGAACTCCTTAATCATGGTATCTTCCTTATCAGTCACAGCAAAATCTATATAATGAAGTAGTGCACATCCATCCACAAAAAACATCCATGCAAGGTAATCATCATCAGGGAATAGTGCGGTTGCCTCCTCCTCATAGCACTCCCTCAGATCTTTGATCTCTCTCCTAACTTTGGAATATAATACTTCTCTATTCAAAGTATGCTTTTTGATGAATAGAGAAGCTAATTTGAGTTTTAGCTTTTCTGTGTTCTTCAAATTTGGATTATTATGATGGTAAGGACCGATTGCTATCATCCTTGGCACATAGTGCTTGGTAAAATTGTTGTTGTCACGCAAGATAGATGGAACTTTTTGTATCTTTTGAGGACAATTCACTTGCACTATGGCATCATCCAAAGATTTGAACTTCTCCACAACACTATTAGTAATGTTTGACCTGACTTCCTCCTCAGTGATGTTGATTACATAGCTCAGATCCACCATCTCCTCGTCTCTGTCATTACTTGTTTCATAACTTTCAAGCAACTCTCCGTGAGAGTCCCACTCCTAAAACAAATATTATAGATTAGGCTTAATATTGAAGACAATGATATTGATATCGTAATTTGATCCCTTTTTCTAAATAAAGAAATATTAAGCCACGCATAATGATATTGACACCGTAATTTCCTAAAACTCTTTATTTATAGAAAAGAGAAAGTTAATATTTTAAAAGTTGGAAAGAATTATTTGAGTTCTTATTTCATATGGAATATTTATTTTTGAGATTTCTGGAATATGCGCTTTTGGACCTATAAAAAAAACTATGATTATCCAATTAAAATAGGCATACATAAGAAGGGTTCAGGTGTGAAAAAAGGAGTTAAAGAGAGATAATAAATGGAGAACTAGAGAGAAATATAGAGTTTCTTTTAAGGGAATTGAAAGTGTGAGTTGAGAGAAGGCGACAGGATATCCTTTTATTACTTTTAATTTGACATAAAATTCAATGAATTTTAACCGATTTGCCCACAATCATGATTCAATTTTTCCTTTACTCTCCTTAGAATTAGTTAATTGTTATCTCCATTGTTACTATAAAAAATAAATTTAAGGAATTCTTAATGAGCAATAATAATTGTATCTCTTTATATGAATTTTTAGTTTTCAAGTTTGACAATTATATTGTATATTTTGAATATTAATATTCTTAATTACGGTGTTACTTCACACAAATTTCAGGATTCATCAGTATATATAATTATTTTAATTACATGTGAGGAGAAGTTGCTCATGATTTATAATACCTCAAGATCTTACCAATGTTTTCGGAAGCCATAATAGAAATCACAATTCATATAAAGAGACAACACTTATTACTTTTTAAAAACTCTAATTTATAGTTGCTCTACGCAATTCTTAGAAACTGTAAATTAGAGTTTTTAAAATAAAAAATAATCTTTTGATTTAAAACAAAATCAAGGAATATAAACTCTTTTTCTTATTACTCAATATCATATAGAAATTTAACTCATAATTAAATATTAACCAGTCAAGTAAGGCCGCAACTGAATAATTGGTCTTACCACACGTTCAGCTTTATTTTCCATTATAGTCGGTAATTACTTGATCGCCTCCAACTGTTCCGCTTTTTCGTTTCCCAGAACCTTAGTTGATGTAGATCTAAGAATGTTTAAACGTACTGAGCGATGGTGTGTTTGCACAGCATGCAGTAGTGTTTTGACTGTTGATTACCGCCATCTTAGGGTTTTTAATACTAACAAAAGTGGCAAGGGCGTAACGGAGGTGGTTTAAGTGGGCTAAGTTTTTAAAATCTATGGACATAAGAAAAGTTTCCAAGTTATTATTTGAGGGGAAAGCCACTTCTATTATGTCATATATGAATGGGTTTTGATTGTGAAGAGTTTGAAGGACAACGTGTTAAAGAAACACTCGTATCTTACTTGATGATGAAATCTTCTATTCCAACAATAAGTTTCGAATAATGAGGAGTTTGAAGTTTCGAATTTTTCATGGAAAATCTTAATAATTTACTTTGAAAGAGAAAGCAAAGAAAAGGACAATTTGGTGATGGCCAAGTGGGCTCTGCCACTTTTAAATACCCATTTCAAATTAAAGCTCTCAATTTCATGTTGAGTTTGTGCTTCTTCGATTCTTTATCACTTCAATAATTGTCTCTTCCACTCTTAGAACTTTCCTATCCATACTTATTCTAATAAAATTGCTTTCCCTATTCACAACTTTTTCTTTTTGGTTTGCTCCGACAGATTCTTGAAAATTATTGTACCAAAGGAATTAATTAAGTGGCTTTGGGGTCTTAATAATCTTATGGATCTATGAAAATAGGGGATAACATTTCCCACCCAAGGTTTGGCGTTATTCTTCTCCCATCCACTAAGTTTGAGAAAAACAATTTCCCACCCATCGTTAAAATCCGTTAGTGAGATCTATTAATTGACATAGTATAATCAGTGTAAAGACAAAAATACCCTTTAAGATTTGAATCCAAATCTAAATTCATACCCAAACAAAAACCAATGGCCACTCGAGCCCACCAAAACCCCAACCAAAACCCAAAGAAACTCTCACTCTTTCACTTACTCTCCTAGTCTCTCTTCTCATTTTTGCTTCCATCTTCCTCCTCCTTACCATCTCCAACAAAACCTAATTCTCTTCTTTTTCTTCTTCTTCTCCTTCATCACTATCTCACTCTCAATAAACTCAACACCATATCGCAAAGAACCAACCCAAACGTGCCGTTGTTGGTGGTTGGGGTGGGGAAGTTGGGTTGCTGGGGAATGGGGATTGGCTGCTGCAAATAAAGACAGAGGTTGGTGGAGGTGGGGTGGTGGGAGAGATAGAATGGGGTTAGTAATATTAGGTATTTAGGTTAAAAAGTATAAATTCAAATAGTAAAGGGTATTATAAAGTTAAATAAACTAAATTTTTTATTTTGTCCTTCTTCCGTTAAAGTTAATAGACGGGGAAACTTTTTTCTCAAACTTAGTGGGTGGGAAGTTAATAAGGCCAAACCTTGGGTGGGAAATTGTCGTTATCCCATGAAAATATTATTAAAATGAGATGCTTTTGATTTTTCTTTTTTCTTTTTTAGATTTAGTTTAAGCTATTTAATATTATAACATAGCTGGATTTTCACTAACAACAGATTTTCTATTAAAGAGTTAGTCAACCCTAACCAAGAAAAAAAAAGAAACTAACTTACAAGACATTTGGCATTTAAAGAAGTCTTTTGCAAAGAAGCGCAATTTCATCACTAAAAGAATCATTCACGAAAAATTATTGTTATCGTTGATATGATTTGTCGTTTATTATAAAAGATAAAACCAATTTGATTGCGTATTTTACTAATGTCACATTTTTCTTGGGTTTAGTCCATTAGTTTTTTTTTTTTTTTTTCTAATTATAGGTAATTATATTGGTGATTTTTTTTGATAAATTCATATAAATTTTAAAATGTGAAAATATTAAAGAATGATTTGTCTTTCACATTTTCAAATTGTAGGATAAAAAGGTAAACCACGAACAGATATATTAATCCCAAAACACACTAAAAACATGGTGGATGTCGACATAAGCTGTAAAATATTAGGGATATTTTGTAATTAATCCTAGAATATTTGGGATTTAATTCTATAATATTTTGTTTAAATCTAATTTAATATAGGAATATTTAGTTTTCCTTAGAATAGGTTGTTTCCTAGTTTAAGAGATTTGTTTCCAGATTTTATCTAGTCATTGTACATATACAACCTCCACATTGGAAAAGAATATACAAGGGAATTAACCACCTCTAAGTAATTTGGCGGTTTACTTGGGACTCTTAGATATATTACTCAAGAGCTCTTGAGTTCGAATCCTCATGACTACTAATAAGAAGTAGTCATTGGAGGTTTACCTAGCCGTTAACTTCAGGGCCTCAGTGAACTAGTTAAGGTGCGCACAAGCTAATCCGGACACCCCCGAATACAAAATCAATAAATATAATATTATATATATACACAAATGAATTATTCAGAAACCCTTGTTTAACATGGTATTAGAGCCAATATAATTACTCGTATTTTTTTTTTTTTTTCGAAATTCTTATTCCTCTTCTCCGAATTCCAACCCGAAAAACTATAAACCCGCGTCCAAAATTCAATTTTTTTTTTTTTTTTAATTCTGCTCACTTCCTACGACTCAATTCAAAATTTCAACTACAGCCCTGTAGTTTGAAGAGTTGACAAACCCTGCAATCAAACCCTAGTCGTTGCAAACACACAACCACACAATTGTCGTCATACAATCAACTGACACACCTGAATCCGAAGTACTTCCGCCATCGAACAGATCTCCACTGCACATACAATCACAACCACCCGAAATTGAGATCTCTAACCATAAACTTTCCACCACTGAACAGATCATCACTGCCCATCACGTTGAGCACACAGCCGCCACGAACATAGTCGTGAACACAATTGCTGTGAACACACCTGAATTCGAACACACCAACGAACACAACCACAAACATAGTCACCACAAACACATCGAAATTCAAACATAGCTGCAAACACAGCCACGAACACATTAAAACCTGAAGCGCTATCGTCGTCGCAACACGACTAGATCTCTACCCAAATATGAGTTTGAGTCCAATGAAAATAGCCCCCGTTGTTGCAACCAAATAGCCGTCGCACATTGACAACCATTGATTTTTTGGGGGCTGAAGTGACAGCCATTGATTTTTTAGGTTTTGAAGTGATAATCGTTCATTTTTTGGGGGTTGAAGTGACAACCATTGATTTTTTAGAGGTTGAATCGTCATTGCTTCTGTTGTTGCTAATCAATTGTGAGCCAATTGACACCCCTAAAGTCGTATCAAGCGAATCAAACGAACTCATTCTAACACCAACATAACACATTGTTGTTCACCAAGACAACTCTGCATTTCCTACTAGAGTCATGTTGAAGGAGAATGATTATTCTTTATGGTCTCAACTCATGGAGATATAGACTGGCACTCGCAACAAGTCTAGATACCTTACCGGAGCCACGAGAAAACTTGCTTCTAGAGATCCAAATCTGGAAACATTACCAAAAACAATAGAGTGAAGAGTTGGCTTATTTACTCAATGAGTTTGTCATTGATGCAACAATTTATTTGCCTTCCCACAGCTAATGAGATATGGGATGCTATCTCGAGAACCTTTTATGATGGATGAGACGAAACCTTTTGTTAGAGTTATGAAATAACTCTATTAAGGTGATTAAAATACCCTATTTATGCTTTAAAAGAAATTACATAGTGATAAATAAGAGAAATTATGAATTTATGCATGGAAATCATATTATAAGTTTCTCTTACTAATTTTGCTTGCTTGAATTGAAATTTGAGATTGAGTAAGTTGATACTAGGGTGTGATTTATCAATCAAGGTTGATTTTGTCTCTTTTGTGCTGTTCAGGGGTCAAATTGATATTTACATTTGGGGGTTGATTTTGTAACTTTTTAATTATGTAGGGACCAAAATGCTATTTTAAAGATTTGCTATATAAGGAAAGTGAAGAGTTGAGAAAAAGGCGGTTGCTCACCCCCAAAACCTATCCTTCTCAATTTTTCTGTGACTCTCCACCTTCCTCCACCGTTGGCCACCATCTTTTCTCTCTTCATGGCGCGAGATGCTACATCTTCCCCTACCGTCGACGATGTTTCATCTTCCAACAGCCTTTTGTCCATTTTTGACATCGGTCGATCTTCTTTGGCATCTACCAATCTCTCTAGCTATGGATCCACCTTCAGTCGAGCTCCATCACTATTGTTTCAAGCAAATCCATCGCATCTTGCCAAAAAGCGCCGCTAACGACCATTCAAATTCCATCCAATTTTTGCTCATTTTTTGAAAATGTTTCATGCCCTAGGTGTTGATTCATCTTCCCCCAACTCCGATCTACCTTCCAGCAAGCTTTGTTCATCGTGTCGCAATTGTGACTTTGCTAGAATCAATTGCCACCGTTGTGATTGTTCATCTTCCTAGCATCCTTTGGTCTTCCTTGGCCACAAAGCACCCTCTATAGCTACCAATGATTCATTTTTCACCATGACCAGTGACCTTTCATCTTCTCCAGCCATTTTCATTACCACCATAATTTGTTGAGCTTCTTTTTTTCTGTTACGATGAAGGCTAGACCAAGATTGACGACCATGACTCCTCTTTATTGCATTTCTTGATTGGTTGGATTGAGACCAAATATTGGATAGATTGTTTGCGTTGTGTGTTGTGTTCAGATTATGTTTGTTTTCATTTCAGCTTGATTACGATACTTTAATATGATTCTGATGCTGATAGAAGTTATGTATGGATATATATAGTTACGGGTATATGTGTAATTATAATGAGTGTAAATATATATTAGGGTGTATAATTTTTAAAATTAATTAATGAGAATATGATGAATATTTCGTAACATGGTATTAGAGCACCGACCTTAGGGTTTAGTTCTGGTGGCCAATGATCCTTCTCACGGCGACATTATTCCTTCTTTCCTCATTTACATCCTCTTCTAATTTTTCTTCTGTTACTTTGGCTAATGGGTCTACTGTATCTATTATAAGGTGTGGTATTGCTAATCTCACCGAATTTATGTCTCTCTCCGTTGTTTTGGGTCTTCCTCATTTACTCTTTAATTTATTATTTGTTAGTCAAATTACTAATGCATTCAACTATGACGTTTATTTTTTCCCTACTCATTGTATCTTTTGGGATCTTGGGATAAAGCAGATTATTGGTAGGGGCCATGTATCTAGTGGCTTGTATGTGCTCGATGACATCTCTACTCCAGTGCCACAACTTGTTGCTTGTACCAGTGATTCATCCCTATCCATCTTATATGGTCTTTTTGGTCATCCTCCTCTCCTAATTTTGAAGAAGTTATGTCCTAGTTTAGGGTCAATGTCACACTATGAATGTGAGGAATGTGAGGCATGCTAGTTTGGGATACACCATCAAGTGTCCTATAATCCAAGGATAAATAAACGAGTCACGGCTCCTTTTGATGTTATACATTTTGATATTTGGGATCCTTATCCTGTTTTATCTCAATCTGGTTATAGATATTTTGTTACTTTTGTTGATGATTTTTCATGTGTTACTTAGCTATGCTTTATGAAAAATCGTTTTGAGTTATTTTCATATTTTGTGCCTTTTATGCTAAGATAAAAATCAATTTGCTTCATCTATTAAAATTTTGCGAAGTGATAATACCAAAGAATATTTTTCTCAATCTCTTTCCTCTTTTTTGTCCACTAGGGTTATTATTCATGAGTTATCTTGTGTATATACACCTCAATAAAATGGGGTTGTTAAACAAAAAAAAAAAAAAACGTCATTTGTTAGAGGTCGCCCATACACTTCTCTTTCATATGAAAGTCTTTAAAGAGTTTTGGGCAAATGTTGTTTCTACTGCATGTCACTTGATTAATCGTATGCCTTCTTCTATTTTTGTGTGGTCAAATCCCTTACTCCATTCTTTTTCCTTCTCAATCTTTATTCCTTCTCCCTCCCAAAGTCTTTGGGTGTACTGGTTTTGTTAATGATGTTTGACCTTATCTCTCCAAATTAAACCTTAGATCCCTCAAGTGTATATTCTTGGGTTATACACGATATCAAAAGGGTTATCATTGCTTTTCTTCTATGTTGGGTGAGTATATTGTCTCGGCTAATGTTTCATTCTTTGAAACTACTCCATTTGTTGATTTTTCCATTCCATCCTCCCCTTCTCTTGAAGCCTCCATCAATGATTTCTTGTTTATACCATTACTTAACATAGTTCTCCACCTTCTTCTCGTCCTCCTATCACTCAACCACCCACTTCTCGTCCTCCTATCACTTAAGTCTACACTCATCGAGCTCAACAATGACATGTAGCACCCTTGTTGACCTCTAATTCATTGCCCCTACTGCCTACCTCGTCCTCGGATCTAGATCTTCGTATTTCTGATCTCGATCTTCCCATTGCTCTTCGTAAAGGTAAATGTTCTTGTACTTATTCTATTTTCTCTTTTGTTTCTTATAACTTCTTGTCTCCATCTTCTAAGTCTTTTGCTGCCTCTTTAGATTCTGTGTCTGTTCCCAGTTTTTTGTTTGAAGAGGTTAGTCATGATGGGTGGCGAAGGGCTATGGAAAAATATATGTTGGCTCTTGAGCATAATAGTACATGGGATCTCATTGATTTACCCGAAGACAAAAAGGTCATTGGGTGCAAGTGGGTTTTCATAGTGAAGGTTAATTCCGATGGGTCTGTGGCCCGGTTGAAAGCTCGGTTGGTTGCTAAGGGTTACACTCTGAGGTATGGTATTAATTACTTTGTGACATTTTCTCCAGTTGCTAAAATGACCTCTGTTTGGTTATTTATTTCTCTTGCAGCTTCCTATAGTTGGTCTTTTCACCAACTCGATGTCAAGAATGCATTTTTGCATGGTGATCTTCTTAAGGAGGTTTACATGGAGCAATCTTCGGGGTTTGTTGCTCAGGAGGAGTTCGAAAAGGTATGCAAGCTAAGGAAATCTTTATATGGCTTGAAACAATCTCCACGTGCTTGGTTTGGGAGGTTTAGTGATGTGGTGACTAAATTTGGTTTACATAGAAGTGCTTATGATCATTTTGTCTTTTATAAGCAATCTAGTTCTAGCATTCTCCTTCTCGTTGTTTATATTGATGACATTGTAATCACTGGTAGTGATAGTGTTGGCATTCATAGTGAAACTCAAAGCAGATAGCAGTATTGATAGATATAAAACAAACTTAGTTGAACAAGGGTACACGCAAAAGTATGGGGTGGATTGTCAAGAGACCTTCACACTGGTAGCAAAGATCAATAGAATTCGCATTCTTATATCTATAACAGCAAACTGTGATTGGCCCTTAAAATAATTTGATGTTAAAAATGCCTTCCTCAATGGACATTTAGATGAAGACGTCTACATGGAGTTGCTGCCCAGAGTTGGACGTTCATCTTCTGGTAGAAATGAAGTTTGTAAACTGAAGAAGTCATTGTACGGGCTGAAACAATCACCGAGAGCCTGTTTGGGAGGTTCTCTTCGACAATGAAGGCATCTGGGTATAAGCAAAGTAATTCAGACCATACTTTGTTTATAAGATAGAAAGAGGGAAAGGTAATAGCCTTGATTGTGTATGTTGATGATATGGTTTTGATAGAACATGACCCGAGCAAAATGAAAGCATTACAAGAGTAGTTGGCTGCTAAGTTTGAAATGAAGGATCTCAACCAACTTAAATATTTCTTGGGGATTGAGGTTGCAAGATTGAACCACGGGATTTCACTATCACAACAGAAATACTTGCTTGCAAACCGACAAAGATGCCCATAGAAATGAATCACAAGCTCGGAGAATGTTTAGATCAAGCTCCAACAAACAAGGGTCGTTATCAATGGTTAGTTGGGAAATTAATCTATCTGGCACACACGAGGCCAGATATAGCTTATGTAATAAGTTTTATAAGCCAGGTCATGCATGCACCGCGCGAAGAGCATATGAATGCAGTGTATCAAATTCTAAGATACTTGAAGAATGCACTAAGAAAATGTTTGTTGTTCTCAAAAAATGGTGTTTCTAACATTGAAGGCTATATAGATTCTGACTGGGCAGGGGATCGAATTGATAGAAGGTCCATGTCTGGGTATTTTACTTTTGTGGAAGGTAATCTTGTTACGTGGAGCAGCAAGAAACAGAAGGTAGTAGCACGATTAAGTGCAGAAGCCAAATGTCGAGGCACGGCACATGGTATGTGCAAATTGTTATGTTTTAAAAGTGTACTAAAAGATTTGGGGATTGAATATGGAAAACCTATGAGTCTTCATTGTGATAATAAGACAGATATTGAGATTGCACATAATCCAGTATAACACGACCGCACCAAACATGCTGAAGTTGACCGTCATTTCATCAGAGAAGAAAAAAACAAAACACTTCGAAACTTTTTGGATATTTATAGACATCCTAAGGTACTTTTAAAAAAAAAAAGTCAACTCAATTAATACAGCAGAACTAGTTTTAAAATAAATTTTCTTTCTGTTTTTCAATTCTGTCTAAAATTTCATAACTGAGCACACTGTCTTCTAAAATTTGTATTAAATTTTATACTCGCTGAAAAATCACAAATCTTTTTCAACATAAACTAGACATGTTATTCTAGAGCTAATAAAAAGTTGAAAAAAAAATATATATATATATATATATAGTTTCTAAGATATCTAAATATTTTACGCAAGTTCACTAGTTTATAGAAAGACCAAAATATCTAGGTTTTACACCGTCAATGAGTTTGAAAAATTAGTAGTAATTCATATTACATAATCGTTTTTAATGAAATAAAACTGTTCAGACTCTACATTGTCCTTTCATAATCATAGAATGATAAAATTTAGTTGGACAACTTAAAAGATTTAATTTAGAGAAAAAAATTAATTATGATTCTAAACTGATAATGTTATTTAATTGATGTGAAAATTTGAAAATTATTTATAAAGTGCTGATGCAGAAATTTGTATTGGGTGGAAATCCCTATTCCGCCCTTGAAGTGATTGACTTCTGGTTGACAATTTCGATAGCTGGCTCTACTGTAAAGTCATGATGCCTTTGCTATAGGGTCACGATGCCTCTGCTATAAAGTCCCAAAAAAAGAACGGAGGTCAAGGGTGCGCGAGCAAGTTTGTTGG